GAGAGCAAGCCAGTAAGCAGCGTTCCTCCATGGCCTGTGCTCCAGCTTCTGCCTCCAAGTTCCTGCCCTGAGTTCCTATCTTGGGCTCCCTGATGAACTGCATGCGACCTGGGAGATGTAAGACAAATAAACCCTTTCCTCCCCAAGTTGGTACTGGTCAGAGTGTTTTGTCACAGCAATGAAGAACAAACTAAGACAACTGCTGTGGGGCAGGGGTGCACCTCAGTGGTACAGTGCTTGCCTAGCATCCTTTAGCTCTGAGTTCCATCTCCAGCACCAAAACATAAGATAATAAAAATAAGAAACCTCATTGCAAAACTCTCACTACAGGGGAATGGCTCAGTGGATAAAGACACTTGCTACCAAGTCTGAGGACCTGAGATGCACATGGCAGAAGAAGAGAACTGACTCCCACAGATTGTCCTCTGACCTCCACACAAGCACTGTGGCACGTGTACACACACACAATAAATAATGTAACAAAAACATATATTTAAAGAAAAGTTCAGGGGCTGGAGAGATGGCGCAGCGGTTGGGAGCACTGACTGCTCTTGCAGAGGACCCAGGTTCGATTCCCAGCACCCACATGGCGGCCATGAACCATCCTTAACTCCAGTTCCAGGGGAATCCGGAGCCCTCTTCTGACCTCTGCAGCACTGCACAACATGGGTACACTCACATGCATGCAGGCAATACACTCATACACATAAAATAGGGATAGTAAATAAAATATTGGAAAAAAAAAAAGAAAAGCTTCACTTCAGAGGGATTGTCCTTATACAGTGCCACATTTTTACTGTGTGACACTAGGCAAGTGACTTGATCTCTGAGCCTCAGGTCCCTGCTCTGCAAGGAATGTGTTTTCTTAGGCTGGCTATGAATCAAATCAATTAGTAGAGGAACAGGATGAGTAAAGCAAGACCCTGGGTGGGGAAAGCTGCGGCTCCTACTGGAGGGTGTCAGAGGCAGAGAAGGTCCCCTCAGGCAGAGAAGACACAGTGGCCCAGTGGCCATCCCTAGGCTGGAGCAGCACATCAGGAGGGAGAGGTGTGATTCTAGTAGTTGAACTCCAAGAAGGACAGACACCACTTCAGGGCCAGACGTGTCCCCAGTCTGACCTTGTCAGCCAGTACCTGTGCCTGCAGACCCATGCTCACTGAAGGGCCCCTTGGCTCAAGCCTCATGAAATAAAGAAGCAGGAGATACCTGCTGCTCTGAGAAGATACCAGTGGCCTCCTCCCATGGATATGATTTGAGGAGACAGTATGGGGCCTTGGAAAGCTCTGGGCCTCTGACAATTGCTGCTGGGCCTGTACAGAGGCACCATGGGAGAGCTTCAGGGTGTCCTCAGAGCCTCCAAGTCAGGCACAACAGCCTTTTCTGAGCAGTTCCTTGGAGGATCCTTGGAACATACTACAGATAGCAGGTGCCATGAAGAGTTTCAGTGTCCTGTGTTACAGGTAGGGTGCCTGCCATGTGTAGAGCTGTTTCCAAGGACGTCAGTAAGAACACTCACAAATCAGTATCTAGTTAAAAGAAGAAACTAGTGGGATAGTGATGTGTGGTGTGTACAGAATTTCAATCCCATTAGAATGCTCTCCAGCCCAATGAACCATTCGATTAGCAAGCCTGGGCTAAGAGATGAGAATAATGAGAGTCCAAGGACCACCTCCAAACCCTGAGGCACTGCTTCCCTTCCCACACCAGTCCTGCTTCCTGCTGCCTGTGCTCCTGGGTTTATGGACAGAATCAAGTGGCTGATGAGCTCTGCAGGCACCTGGAGAAGAAAGCACAGAAACCCGAGAAGAGCCCAAGGCCAACGTGTCCAGCGCAAGTCCAGGCCTGCTCTCCTCAGATGCATCTGTGCGCCCACCTATCACCATGACAACGGTCATTCCTCAGTAGGGATGGAGTGCCCAGAAAGGGGCAACAGGGCCTCAAGGGTGAGCAGGCCAGTGTTCCTGCAACTCAGCAAGGTGCAACACAGGATGCCCAGCTGTAGGTGCTGGCTCTGCATGTGGATCTGCCTTGACCCACAGCCTCAGTGCTCCCCAGTCCAGCAGTAGTCTCCCAGACCAATACCAAAGCAACATAAACTCAGCAAGCCACCGGGGCTCTGACTCCAGGAGTTTCAACAGTGAAACAGGATTAAAGAAGGCCAGGATGAGCCACGCTAGGCACCAGGCCCATGTGAAGCAAGCAGCCCCAGGGAGCAGGAGAGGACCCAGGATCCCTGCCCAGTCCTCAATCCTTACAAGCCTCAACCCACACCACTTAACTGCAAAGGAGCCCTAAACCACGTGGTTACCAGTTAACTACCCGAAAAGGAAAATCTGGGGCAGGCTATGGCATGGGAAGGGGGACCTGCCTTCACACAGTACCCTGCCAGTCACCTGGCATTATGCCAGGAGAACCAGGTACCAGGCACACACCTGTCCTCACAATGCAGGGGAGCAGCCTTCAGGGAGAAGGTCTAGGTCAGTGACTGGGTGTGACTGGCCCACAGGGCCTGCAACATCTCAATAGGTTAAACCACAGGAGGCAGGATAACTAGCCAGGAAACAACAGCAGCGACAAGATGGCCACTCTCTCTCTGTTCTGATTTCGCTGATTAAAAACCCACGCATTTTGACATTATTAATCAGACCACCTGCAAAATAACTATACTCCCCTTTCTGAGGAAAATGACAAATAAGATTGCTGGCAATGCTAATGAAGTGTGCTTTAAGTCTAGCCTGCATGTAAACTGCATAAAATGAAAGTTCCCTGTGATGAACGGGGGTTTTGTCTTTCTGTTGTGTTTTGAGACAGTCTCATGTAGCCTAGACTGGCCTTGAACTCTCTCTGTAGCTGAGGGTGACCTTGAACGCCTGATCCTCTGCCTCTACCTCCCAAGTGCTAGAATTACAGGTGTGCACCACGTGCATTTCATGTCAAGTCCAGGGCCTCGTGCATGATACACAAGCACTCTGGCAACCGAGCCCAGCCCCAGCACGAATGTTGGCTCTCTAGCAGCACTCCCCTGAGCAGCTTGCACAGTATACCTAACAGTCTCCTCTTAAAGGTCAGAATTCCCTGGGTATGAGAAAGGAGAATGCCAGTATAAACCTGCCATAATGTCTAAACCTAGTTGCAGATTCAGTACCTCAAAGCCCCCAAATCTCATTTAGGCGACTGCTGAGTGTCGGTCTGTCCCCACACCCTAATCACTCTCCTCAAGCATACCTTGTCTTCCTGCTTCATCAGTGAACTCTAACTTTGCCTCACTACGGCTCATCTGAATTCTCTTCTGTGGCAGAGGTCAAGGGCAGACTGAGCCTGGCTGAGTACAGCCCTCATGGCCTGGGTTTCCTTCCTGTGCTGAGCTGCTCTTCCTGCTGCTGGCCTTGGGCAGGAGGCAAAGAAGAGAGAAGAGAGGTGGGGTGGAGGGAGGGCCGCTGGTGGGAACGAAGAGCTGGGCCAGGGAAACAAGAGGCGCCTCTGGGGCAGTTAAGAACACTTGCCGCTATTGCAAAAGAACCACATTCACTCCCCAGCACCCACATGGTGGCTCAAAATCGGCTGCGACTCTAATTCCAGGAGACCTGACATCCTCTTCTGTTCTCCTTGGGCATTGCTTACACATGGTACACTTACATACATGCAAGCAAAACACTCATACACATCAAATAAAAATAAAGGTACTCTGCTCACACCGTCCAGTCAGAAAGGTGGCAGGTGGCATGTGGATTTGGGAACAAGTACAGAGAGCAGCACAGACCACGCCACTCTGCAGCAGCCTCACACCTCCTGTTCTGACTTGACACCCACAAAACAAATTCTATTTCCTCAACTGCATCAACTAATTTAGAGTGCACCCTAGGCCTCAGGAAGAACACTTCTAAAACATCAAACAGAAACTCTGCACGGCAGATGCCTGGAGCCCTAGCCGTGTTCAGGAGAAAGAACCCGCCCACCACACCCTTACCTTGTCCACATGTGCGTGCCAGTACTCATCGTGAGCTGTGCGGGCTTCCGTGCTGTTTATACGAGAGAAGAACGTGGGCTTCGTCAGGTACAGCAAGGACACATTGATGCCAAAAGCTTCAGCAATGGTAAGCTGGACCTTCCGCCGCACATCCCTGCAGGGGACACCACACTGACACTCCAATGTCTTTAGAAGTTTTAATTATTTCAAATGTTTTAAGAGGGAAATTGTTTGGAAACGCCTTTTCATGTGCCTCCTAATTACAAATCTCTACTTGAATCCTAAAGCTTACTGTGTGACACTAGGCAAGTGACTTGATCTCTCTGAGCCTCAGGTCCCTGCTCTGCAAAGAACGTGTTTTCTTAGGCTGGCTATGAATCAAATCAATTAGTAGAGGAACAGGATGAGTAAATCAAGACCCTGGGTGGGGAAAAAAATCCCCACAGACAAAATTTGTATTTGGTGTTTCTACCTTTACTGCTCTTGCATGCTGTAGGGAGCACTGTTGTTAAACAGCACCATCTGTAGGGAGCACTCCCACGGCCGGCAACAGTCTTTGTGTTTGCTGTTGCAACAGCCACCTTGATTGTCACCCAGAAACATAAGCACGTGTTCCACCTGTGCTGGGCCCTCAGACCCAAGCACATCACAGAGTGGAGCTATGTGCAAGGTTGGCCCCTTGAAGGTTGCTGCAAAGCCCCTGGGGGCTCCTGCCACCTGCAATGGCGGGTTTAAAGGATGAGTGTGAGAGTGGCACTAAGTGACGGCTCACTGTTATCACTGCCAGCTCTGCAGAGTAAGCCAAGCCCCTTCTGCTCTCTGGACCAGAGCCTAGGCTTTGCTTAGCAGCCATTTCCCAGGCAATGTAATGAAGGCGTGTGTCAGCTGTTTGCAGGCAACATGGCTGCTAGTAAATGATCTTTGTCATCAGGATGGGTGGGCATAGGGCTAGAAAGAGAAACAGAAAGTCTGTGCTCTGACGGCATGTTCAGTGTCTTGGCTGGTTCAACACAACCTCGTGGGTAAGAAACCACACAGAACTCAATGCACACAGGATCATGCATAGATGCAGAAGCCAGGAACTCTGAACGAGATCAGAGGCTGGACCAGTGCCTGTTCTAGAGAGCGATGTCGCACCCAGTTATGCAATGTTACTGACAGGACTGAGTGGATGATGTGTGGAATCTCCTGGCCTATTTCCTATGCTATGATACACATCTTGATAATCTCTAAATAAAAGCGCTAACTTTAAAAATTCCCCAGGCAGGTAAACTGCCTCTGGGTGAGGACTGTGCAAGACCCATGGGTACTCATGTTGCGGCAGGTGCTAGGCTCACCCCAGTGTGCTGTGACCCCCGTAACAGGGCGTGTCTGCTACAGAGCCAAGATAGCCCATGAGGTATTAAAAGAGCTGCCCATCCACCCAGAGATAGGCTGGGTTCTACCATCCTCACCCACAGGTCTCAATCCCTCACTTGGGAGCCATCACCCTGGCCTGTCATGACACAGCCTCACAGAGACCTTAGCCCCCTCCTGCAATATCTGGCCACAGTCATCTCCTCTTGTTCCCTGTCCTCCTTACCGGTATAATTGGAAGTCCTCCTCAGAGAAGATATTTTGTATTTTATCCCCAAAGTATCTGTAACACAGTAAGACACCTTAGCAAGCAAAACATTTTAGTGATCTTTTCCTGGGCCCCGCCCTCCCTTTTTTGACAGGGTCTCACACTATAGCTCAGGCTGATCTTCACCTTGGGCAATCCTCCTGCCTCAGATCACAGAGGTGTGCTACTGTACCCAGCTCCTTTCCTTTTATCAGTGTTTTCTTGAGCTAATCACAAGGCTCTAAAAGTAAAGAGGACTTATCTTAGGGACACTCCATCTCTACAATAATAACTGTGTTACAGGGAAGGAAGGAAGGAGGCGGGGAAGTGGGGGGACCAGCAGCTGGCAGTACAACACTGATGGGCTAGGAGCTCCCTCAGGTCTCTCTGTAGGCCTCCAGGAGCACAGGAGCTTCCTTAGGCCCATGTAGCCGCTGGGCCTCCTTTGTGTCTCAGCTCTCCACTCTCTTCAGCCCCATCCCTTCCCCTTCTCGTACCTGTACAAGTTCACAAAGTGCTTCCCAACAGACAGAGCCCCAGAGTGCAAGTCCAGGATAGATGCCTGTAAAAGACGTATGTGTGTGAAACAGGTGAGAGTCACTTTAAAAGTCACCAAAGATAAACCCCAGTTACCACAATCCATTATGCAAACACCCTCTGTCTGCCTTTCTTTTTGAGACAGGGTCTTGTTATCTAACACTGACTGGGATGAAACTCTTAGGCCAGACCGGCCTCACAGAGATCTGTCTGCCTCTGCCTATTGAGTGCTGAAATTCAAGGCATGAGCCACCATACCCAGTATGTCTGACTTTCATAAAACCCTGTCTTGTACACTGTCTGCCTGGCAAGATCCATCTCTCTCTACTGCCCCAAGGGAAAACCAAACTTGTTGGCTTAATGTTCTAGAAACAGTCCATGAACACACTCCCCAGACACATCTGTGTTTGCTTGCCTTAGCCAGAGCCTGCTCTACTGCCTTCCTCTCTCTCTCCCCTCCTCTCTCCCTCCCTCCACTGGCTCAGTCAAGGTGAAGCTCACATGCACAGTCCTGCCCACATGTGAAGTGTGCAGTGTTAGGAGTTTCTGTGTAGGTACACAGGCCTGCATGTCCACCACCACTGCCCTTCTGGGACCTTCCCTTCTCTCTGCTTCTTTAGCTCCTGGGCGCCTGAGACTTCACTTTCTGCAGGAAACGGGCTGTACTTCTGCTGAGGTGGAAGATGGGCCTGTGGTCTGTTTCCTTCCCTCCGCATAACTCACACTGTTCATCCCAGCTTAGCACTGAGGCCAACACACGGCATGGACCTGTCAACCTGCTGGCCCGACCCTGTGATGGCTGTGGGTTCTTCTCTACACACTGGTCACAGTGTGTATGGGTGTGTTTTCAGTGCCCTCAAATGGACCCATAGGGCAATAACTTTTTTTAAAATTTTATTTTTATTTTGTGTGTATGCGTATATTGCCTGCATGTAGGTAAGTGCACCCGTGTCGTGCAATGCCCGCGGAGGTCAGAAGAGGCTGTTGGGTCCCCTGGGACTGGAGTTACGGACAGTTGTCAGTTGCCATGTGGGTGCTGGGATTCGAACCCGGGTCTTCTGCAAGAACAACCAGTGTTTTTAACCACTGAGCCATCTCTCCAGCCCCAGGGCAATAACTTTTTAAGGAGCTGACCCTAACCACCCACCTCTGAGTCTTTCCCTGAATCCCAGGAGGGAATTGGTCACCAGCAGGGACTATTTTACCCTGACCATAACGAGCAGTAGCAGATACCAGGCCCCTTTCTTCATCCCTGATAGAACTTACTGGCATCAAACCCGTGCATAGAGACTCTTTAGGGAGGGCAGAGGAAGGAGTAAGAAAGAAGTCACTCACTGACGATCTTTTAATAAATATTCCCCTGAACCAAACTGAACTGACGGAGAAGGAATTCCTTTTCAGAACTCTAAAGAGGAGTTGGCCTCCAGGTGTGGTGGCACACACCTTTAATTCCAGCCAGCTGGAGCTACAGAGAGACTCTGTCTCAAAAACAAAACAAAAAACAAACAAAAAAGGGTGGTAGATGAAGTTGTGCAACCACAGAAATACTTTGAAACTCTAGTGAAGACTAGAGTCTTCTTCCAGACTCTAGAGTCAATCTTCCAGAGGCATCAGCTCTGCAGACTGATTTGGGCCCATGAAGGACTATGGTGCAAAGCAACTGCCGAAGTACCAGGAAGAGGAACCTGTCCTCAAACAGTTCCTCACAACAAACAGTGACCAGGTGAGAGTCCACGGCAACACCAGGCTTCAGTGACTGCAACCCAACTGCCCAGGGGCTGCTGGCCCAGGCTGTTCCCATGGCTGCAGCAACACGGACTGGGGGTTTCCGGCTACAGAAGTTCACTCCCTGACCTCTGAGACTGGACATCTGCAATCAAGGTGGTGCAGGTGGCACTGATTCTGCAGGCTCTAGGACAGGGTCCTTCCTTATCCTCCAGCTTCTGTGGCCCCAGACTTTCCTTGGCTTGTGGCCACATCACCCCACTCCCCACCTTACATGGGCTTTCTCCTCCTCTCAGTCTCCCTTTGTCTCTCTCTTATACAGTCCTTAGACTTGGGGTCCCGATAATCCTTCATCTCCAGATCTTTCCCCCAATTACAACGGCAAAGACTCCATTTCCAAATCATACCACAAGTCTCAGGGGGGCATACCATTCCATGCCTTGCATGATCTGCCCTTGTACAGAAGATGACAGGCCTCTGGTAGCTTGTGGCAGTGGGATCCATCCAGGCATCTTATATACAGGGGGCTTTGATTTTCCCAGCAGCTATGCTGGTCACTAGGCTCCCAACTCCCTCATCACCTCCCTCTCTCTTCCACCCCTCCCTGATCCCTCCTGCCTGACCTAGAGTATCTAAGACCTGAAGTATGGCCTGAAGCCAGGTCTGTGAAAACCATTTGTGACTATGATGCACTCTTCCTAAGAGCGACACACCTTGTGCCTGCTGGACCCAGGCAGGTACAGCAGCCACCATAAGGCAGAGAAACACCATGGAGAACATGGCCAGCCCATGGTATAGTGGGGTAACAGAGGGGACCCCATGTGCCCTTCCCCTCCAAGGAGAGCAAACTTAAAATATATAGAGAAAATGGGGACAGGAACTGCATCAACTCACCCCTCCATCGGATCCACCCAGGGAGAGCCCCTTCTCTGCTATGCTGTTGGGGAAAAAAAAACTTCTAAATCAGAATTTAGTTAACAGCACTGTCAATACGGTAGTCTAGGCCAAAAACATCAATTGACGTAATAGTACCATGTTTATAGGCTCTGCTTGCTTAACATTTATAATCTAAACAAAGATGGAAACTGAAAAAAGGCAACATTCAAAGCCAATGACATATCATCATCATCTTCCTAACATATGACCTGCCCAGAAACCACTGATCTAATTCCTGACTGTAGCAGAGGTACCTTGTAGTGTTTGTGGCCCAACCCAACTGCTCCCAGGTAGGTGGGGACTTTGGTAGTCACAGCTCAAACTGTAAAGAGACACAGCAGCCCAGAGAGGCCCAACCCACTGAAGAAGGAGCAAGCAGCTCCGACAATGAGTTCACCCAGGGATGGGGCTGGGGAGCAGGATAGAGGAGAGGCTCCCTGCTGGGCATCGAGGCAGAACCAGTCTGTGGACAGAGAAAGATGTGGCTCCAGGACCAAATGCAGCTTCAGATGCCGAATCTGAGCAGCTGGTCAGGAAACCAAACCTTCTTTTAAAGATCTTGTTTTTAAAATCCCCACAAGGAAAATTCTGAGCCAGTACTCACGAGCCACAGCAAAATGAAATATTATTTAATGACTGTCTGCCGAGGCGTGGGGAGCCCATGTCTCTATAGCAGGCTTCCTCATGGCTATAGAGTGAACTCCCTAGAGAGGAAACTGAGCTTCTGGAATGTTCTATCAGCAGTGACATTACTGAACCCACAGCCTTCCCTCGTAGGAAGCAGGAAGCCTGTCCCTTGCCCCCGAGAGTCCCTGAGATGGTCCATGGAACTGTGCAAGTTGTCTCTGTTCCTGCCCCACTCCACTTTCCACTCACTGCCTTACCCCAACCCACAGATGCCCTGGACCAAGTGCAAAGACGTGTGTACCTGCGAATTCGCTCCGCCTCCTCCCTGGTGATGACCATGTCGGTGACACCTCTGCCACACTTCCTAGGGGTGCAGCCTGTGAGGCGACAGGGAGAAATGCTGACTTCCAACACCACTGTCCCAAGATCATAGCTTGGTGGGGAGGGGCTGGCACGGCCCTTCCCTATGAGGGGTCAGTTTGGCCAACATGCCAGGTTAAATGTGACCTTCAGATAAAGTAGCAGAAACTTTCCACTAGAACTATACCTTATACAGAATGTCAACCCTCACCCCTGCCCCTAGGACCCTGGGTTTCCCACATGCCCACAACTGGATAGGTTGATCCTGATTCCCATCACTCCCTCCAACCCCTGGGAACCACAGATGCCCCCAGGCACAGCACTGACATTTTTATTTCATTTTGTCTTGTTTGTTAAGAGATATGGTCTCACTTTGTAGCTCACACTACCTCAAACTTGAGAACCTCCTGCCTTAGCTTCCAAGTGGTGGGATTTCAGGTCTGTGCTAGCACACTGGCTTGGCAACATTCCTTATCCCACTGCTGGTCTGAGCATCCCTAAACACCCATTGGAAAGTCCTCCAGGCACAATCCAAGCTGAGCTTGTTCTTCTGGTTACTGTCCTTCTCCAGGACCAGTGTCTGCCACACTTACCTCTGCCATTCCCTGAAGATGTTGAGAGAAAAGAAGTCAGAGTAACTTAGAAGGGGACAAAGTGAGGGTCAGGGTCAGGGTTGATGGAGTCAGGGTTGCTGGAGGAGGCCAGGATGAAGTAGAGCATCAGAAGTGAATCAGCAAGTGACCAGTTCCTGTGTTCTGGCAGCAAAGGAATGGCCAGTTCCCTTGCCTTGGGTGAGCTGTGCAACATTCTAGATAATGAGGTGAACTCTGGGCCCATCCTGCAGAACATGCTGGGTGAGTACCTGCCATTTACTTCTCATACCTGGTCCCTTCCTGGTTGAGAAGTGGACCCAGAACCTAGAAGTGGAACCACAGTCCTGGGGCCATGTGCATAAAAGCTACACACAGGGCCAGAGAGATGGTTCAGCAGTTAAGAGCGCATACTGCTCTTGCAAAGGACCAGAGTTGGGTTCCCAATACCCACACCAGGCAGCTCAAAACCATATGTAACTCCAGCTCCAGGGCGACACCCACTTTTGGCCTCCAAGGACACCTGCACTCGTGCACATATCCATACACAGATACAGAGACACAGAAACAGACACACACACTTACAAATAGTAAAATAGGGGCTGGAGAGATGGCTCAGTGGTTAAGAGCACTGGCTACTCTTGCAGAGGATCTGGGTTCAGCTCCTAGTACCCACGTCGGGTGGCTCACATTTGCCAGTTCCGAGGGTACCTGCACTGAAACACTCCCCCCCCCACACACATACATAATTAAAAATTACTTAAAAAAACAAACCTTTTAAAAAGAAGAAAGGCCCGCAAGGCACCTCAGAGGCAAAGGCACTTGATACCAAGACTGATGACCTAAGTTCAATCCCCAGGACCCACAAAGTGGAGGAGAGAACTGACTCCCACAAGCCGTCCTCTAACCTTCACATGCACCCTCCCCCAATAAATAAATGTAATTAAAAAGATAGTTTTCAAAATGTATTCAAGTTTATTTTATGTGTTTGAGTGTTTTGCTTGAATGTACACAAGGGCACCATGGGTGTGCAATGCCCATGGAGGCCAGAAGAAGGGATTGATCCCCTGGAACTGGAGTTAAGGACAGGTGTTAGCTGCCATGTGGGTGCCTGGAACCAAACCCAGGTCCTCTGTAAGAGCAGTCAGTGCTCCTAGCCACGAGGCATCTCTCCAGCCTCTAAAAATTCCTTTTAAAGTAGAAAAGTCAAACTGGGGTGGGGAAGAAGCTCAGTGGTAAGCACCTGCCCGAGGTTCTGAGTTCCATCCCTAGTACCACAAAAACAAATACATAAATAGCCTGAAAAGCAATTAGATAGGGAGAGAGCGGTTTCAAAGATTCTGTAGCATATGCTGTATTTATAGAACTACAGTTCAGTCAGGCAGAAGCCAATGTTTTAAAGAGAGAACAAAAATCCCCATTAACTTTCCATTTTTGCAGTGTCGCTGTACGGATCTGGCTGGCTTCACTGACCTTGAACAAATGCCCTGTACAGCTGACCTTGAACTCACCATCTTCCCACCTCAGCTTCCTTGGTGGTAATTTTTATTATTTATTCATTTTTATTTATTTATTTTTTGGTCTTTTTGAGACAGGGTCTCCCTGTAGCCCCAGCTGGCCTGGAACTCACTATGTAGACCAGGCTGGCCTTGAACTCACAGAGATCCACCTGCCTCTGCCTCCTGAGTGCTGGAATTAGGGATTAGAGGCATGGGCCACCACGCCTGGCATTTTATTTTTTACTACATTTATTTTGTGTGTTTGCATGTATATGTGTATAGGAGTAAGCATGCCACAATTCCCACGTGGAGGACAGAGGGCAGTTTGCAGAGTGGGTTCTCTCCTTCCATCACATGGCCCAGGGATTGAACTTGGGCTGTCAGTCTTGGCAGCAAGTGCCTTAACCCCCTGAGCCATCTTACCAGCCCCTACTTTTTGGGGAAGGGGGGTTGTGATTTTTTGTTTTTGTTTGTTTTTTGAGACAGGATCTTATGTAGCCCAGGTTGGCTTTGAACTCAGGATCCTCTTGCATCCTACAAGCACTGGGACTACCGGTGTGTTTTAAAACTATATTCAGTTCTCCAAGTGCTAACTTTTACATTTTAAAAGCGTGTTTCCAAATAACTGGTAAGTTAAAAGAAGTAAGAGCTGAGGATTATGGCTCAGTGGTAGAGTACTTGCCAAGCATGTGCCAGGCTCTATGCTTAATCCCTAATACTACAAATATATATATAACAGGGCTTCAGAAATGCTTGGAAAAAGATCCCAATAATGTTATATATGAAGCTGTGAGGGACTTAACATTCAGTTTATGGTCACAGTGCAGAACAGACTAGATTTAGTTTCCCGCCTGAAATGACTAAAACTTGGCAAATACAGGAAACTGTTGTTGTTACCACCTGGGCCTCAGGTGAAGAAGTACAGAAATCCTGGGAGAAAGGAAGGGTTCAGTAGAGACTGTGGCATACCTAGCACAGGGTGGAGCCACAGGTGGAGCTGTGAAAGATGGAGGCAGGCATCCAAACAGTCCTCTCAAGTCTTCACAGCACAGTGATTCTGTAAACCAATAACAGAGCTGGTGTGGAGAGGCCAGGGGTCAAGAAAAGAAACTCAAGGATCAGAGACAGGTGAGGTTCACAGAGCAGACCCTGCTTCTCCTATAGACAGAGAACCAAAGCTCTGAGATCTCCAGAGTGAGGTGAAATGGTCCTTGAATTAAGGGTCCCTGCTCCCTCTGGTCCTCCATGACAAAGCTTGGGGCCAGACCCAAAAGGACCTAACTGATCCCAAGTAACCAACCTGTACCCCAGAGTAAAGCTCAGGAACACACATCGGAATGTGAACATACATACCTAGGATGAAGTGTACAAACTATGGCGTCCCGTTGAAATCATGGGAGACTCAGGAAAGCAAGGAATGGGGTCAGTGTAGAGGGGAGTCACCCAGCAACAAGAGACAGGGCAGGAAAAGTACAGCAGCATGACCACCAAGAGGCCACCTGGTAGTGACAGTCAGCTTCAAGACAGGCATCAGGAGCATGAGCTGGCAGAATGCTCTAGGTGGCTGACAGACTTGAGTACATTTTACCCACGCACACAGCTGGAGTTTGTCATGAGGGAACGACAGGGGAAGAGAAAGCAGAAAGTCTAGAGGTTTTATATGCCTTTTAACATTTTTTACCACAATAGATATAAATTTGCAAGCTAGACCATTACTCAGTGCACAGCTGTCTGTCCCCAGAATGCACCGTCTTCCCCGAACACTGTGTCCCTCTCTGCCTTTCTCATTCCAACCATGTTTAATGCTGATAAAGTATTAAATGTTCAGGAAGGAATTAAACACAGAGACACAGACACACACACACACACACACACACACACACACACACACACACACAACAAGATTAGCTGGGCACTGTGGTACACAGCTTTGATCCCAGCACTTGGAAGGCAGAGGCAGGTGAATCTCTGTAACTTCCAGGCCAGCCTGCTCCGCACAGTGAGTTCCAGATCAGCCAGGACTATACAGTGAGATCTTGTCTCAAAAACAAACAAGCAAACAAAAAATTCAGTCAGGAGGCTAAGGGAAGAGGACTGCTTGAACTAAGACATTTGAGGCTAACCTGGGTGACATAGCAAGACTTTTGTAATGTGTGTATTGTATAAATTAGCATGTTGGGAAAAGTTCTAAGACAAAATATCCAACACAACAGAGGCATGTTTATTTTACTGGTTGCTGAGAGATTACGTTGCACCCTCCCCCCTCCACTATGCTACCCGCAAAGCCTTCTCACGAGTAGCTGAGACCTAGTTCATGTGCATCACAACAGCACCCCTTTGTGGAAGAACTTGGAATCTTTTCTCAGTTCAAGTCCAAAGCATTGCTTTGAATTAAAAAAAAAAAACTATCCTAAAAAAGGCAACTCCGCATGCTTCGTTTTAAAAACTGAGATGCATCTGCATCTGGATGGTGCAGAATGTTGAGTAAAACAGAGGCCCAAGTAAGCCTGACCCATCCCATCAGCCAAGGTGTGCACACTCCAGGGTGCTAACTGCCCTCCCAAGGCTGGGCCCAATCCCCAGGGCTCCAGCCTCTAACCGGCTGGCTACTCCTTCCTGCCTTGTACAGAGCCAGAGCCAGAGCTGGGACGTGGGGGCTAGGTGACACTCTCTGTCATCCCCTTTCCTGTCTTCCACATCTCATACCAACCTCACCTTCCCAGCACTTTTCTTCATTTACTCTGTGTGTGTCTGTGTGTGTGTCTGTGTGTGTGTCTGTGTCTGTGTAAAATGCCCATGCCAGAGGAGGTCAGATGACAACTTGAAAGCATGGCTTTCTCTTTCTACCATGTAGGTTCTGGATATGGAACTCGGATCATCAGACTTGGTGGCAAGTGCCATCTCACTGACCCTCATCTTCACCTTCTCACCCTGTTACTGCCCTGCAGGCAAGACTAATCACACCCAAGTGTCCCCTGGAGGCTGACTCTGAAACTTAGCCTGCAGCCAGGGTGGCTGGCCTACCTTCAAGAGGGAAAGGTTATCTCTGCCCACATACTTGATCTTAACCCTATTCCCAGTTGCATCAAAAAGCAATGTTGTGTTTCTTCTCTACTGTCACTTTTTATTGAGGAGCCCTTGGTACCATACCTTCAAACCTTCGGTGATCATCATAGTCCTCAGAACAGGGAACCTCAATGAACCTGCCTTCTAAGACCTCACCACGGCGGGCCAGGACTTCAGCGACACCATCATCAGTCCCGAGACTGCTCCAGAGCAGGAGTATGACCAGCGCAATGCCAACCCCAAGGGCCACGGTCTTTAGCCATGTCCTCCGTGCCTCCCGAGGCAGCCGGTCCTTCTTGGTGCTAAGAATAGAAAATACAATTACTGTCACCGGGACATGCTTATGCATACTGAGAACACAGACCAAAGTGTTAAAGTGAGCTGAATTTATGTGGCTGAAATTCACTGATATTAACAACTATCATCTCTATGATGTAAAAATCCTAAAACTGGGGCTGGAGAGATGGCCAGTGATTAAGAGCGTGTACTGCTCACGCAGAGGACCTGGGTTCGATTATCGCCACTAATGTTGACTGGCTCACAACTGCCTGTAGCTCCAGCTTCAGGTGGATCCTCCTCAGGTAACTTCTCTCTCTCTCTCTCTCTCTCTCTCTCTCTCTCTCTCTCTCAATTCTAAAATAATAAAGATAATTCTTTTTAATTAAAAAATAACAATTCTAAAACCAAGTCCTCCATCAGCCTCTCTAGTTCAAGAATTCCACAAGAATGTGACTTTCAAAGCCAGGAGGGGTGGCTTATGCCTGTAATCCCAGATTAAGGCAGAATTGCTGCAAGTTCCAGGCCAGCCTGGGAAACACAGTTTCACTCTGTTTCAAAAACAAACAAACAAACAAAAACGAAAAAGGGCCAGGAGTGGTAGCGCACGCCTTTAATCTCAGCGCTTAGGAGGCAGAGGCAGGCATATCTCTGTGAGTTCGAGGCCAGCCTGGTCTACATAGTGAGTTCCAGGTCAGCTGGGGCTACAGGGGGACCCTGTCTCAAAAAGACCAACAAAAAAAGAAATCCGAGTGCAGGTGGATGGACAATCCTCCTGCTTAAGCACGGGCATTTCCAGTTGCTGGTCAGGTTGATCTCATTTTAAATTCAGTGTCTCAGTGTCCAACCCACTAAACCTCCCCTGTCTGGTGAAACTTTCCACTGGCTCTCAACACACCGAGTCTGCTCCTCTGCCCTGACCCTGGCACCTGCACTTTTTTGATTGTTCACATGTAGCTTCTCCCTTTCCTATTTTAAATGTCCATCCCGGCAAGGCGTCTGGCAGCAACCATGACTAGCACGTGCAGATGCGAGGAACAGAGCTGGAGCAAAGAAAGCCCCGACCCGCTGGCCTCATTCCAAATGAAAAATGAGAGAAGGCTGGAACCAAAGCAGCCGTTTGGAGGACATGCGCTGGAGCTCGGTCCCTGTCTCTAAGGGCTCCATCCCCAAGGTATGAGGCCCACAAGGCCAGCTCTGAACCCGCGAGGTCTGAAAGGCACATGTACTGGGAGGTCTGGCCTGCAGACACAGTCCAGGGGATCACAAAGGCTCAGAGACACACTCCATAAGAGGAACCGCTCACCAGCAGACCCAAGGAGAGCCCCCACCGCCTGCCGGCAGACCCCGCCCCGCCCTAGCCCCGCCCTCGGGCCGCCCGTCAGGTCCCGCCCTTGACATGACCACGCCCCACCTCCCGGCAGACACGACTCCCGCGTAGCCACGCCCCCATGTCGCCGCGTCTCGAGCCCCGTCCCCGGCGCAGCCACACCCCCTGCCTGACCCCGCCCGCTACAGCGCGCGGCCTCCCGGGCCTAGCTGTTCCTGCACCTGCTCGCGCGCCGACGGTCGGACGCGCTTCTGCCTTCGGGAGCTCTGGCTGGTCCCCTCCGCTGAGGCGCCATCACGTCAGACCACTGCGGAGCCAGAAGGGATGCGAGAGCCGCCTAGCCCGGGGCGACAGCCGCGACAGAGAACGGGAGGCAGGCGCGGCGCGGGGACGCGGGAGCGACGCGCTCGGCGGTCGGCCGGACTGCGGCCAGGCACGAGCAATCGGCGGCCGAGCGGGGGGCGGGGCCTGCTCTGGTCTCGGAGCCACTCACCTGGGCGCACCTGAGGTTGCCCTGCAGGGGCACGCGGAGCGGGTGAGTCGTCACACTTCCGGCTGGGTAGCCGGCCTCCCCGCACCCCCGGGGGCTGTCTTGACCCTCCTGTCCGAGCTTCTGGGAGCCGCCCTGGGGAGGAAAGCCCATCGCGGGCGGGCGGGCGGGCTCCGAGTCCTTGCACAGGACTGAGCCTGGAAACCAAGGGCCTGGATGCAAGATTCAGTTAGCGCATCCCTTTTCCTAACTAATCCTTTGTAATTTCACAAGACGTAGGACAGTGTTCAGTCATTTTACTGCTGCTTCAGTTTTATCCAGGAACTAATTTTCATGCAAGCTGCAGTCAGCTTATTCCTTTTTCAAGGAATTTTTAATGCCTCATTATTGTTATTATTTGTAGTTATTTGCAGTGCTAGGGGTGGATCCCAGGGCATCTGGCAGAGTGAGCAAGTGCTGTATTACTGAGCTAGCTACACTTCCCAGCCCCCCAAATTACCACTGCCTTAAGTTTTTTCAGTAGTAGGAATTGAATCTAAGGCCTTTATGAATACTAGACCAGTACTGTACCACTAAGCTATATCCCCAGCCCCTATTTTACCTTTTTTAAAATTGATTGAGAATTTCTTTTTTTTTTTTTTGGTCTTTTTGAGACAGGGTCTCCCTGTAGCCCCAGCTGTCCTGGAATTCACCGTGTAGACCAGGCTGGCCTTGAACTCACAGAGATCCACCTGCCACCACGCCTGGCTGAGAATTTCTTATATGCATATAATGTGCTTTAATCAAATCCACCTCTCACCTTGTTTCAATTTTTGTTTTGAGACAGGGTCTCACTGAGTTGCCCAGGCCTGGCCTTGAACTTCCTTTGTAGCTCAGGCAAGCCTTAAACTTTCCATCCTCCTGCCTCAGCCTTGATGTTGGGGTTGTAGGTGTGTGCCAGTAGGCCCACCTTGTAGAGGTTTTTTTGTGGTTGTAAATCATAATCTCACATGGGAATCAGTGGTCTTCCATTTTAGGGGCGATTCACAGATAACGAGAGCATCTATATTTAAATGCAGAGGTAAAATTATCAGTTCATTTTCATGTTAGTAAAATGAGTTACCTCTGATTTAGTAGAGCAAAAGTAGCCGGTATCAAAACTGAAGAAGAAAGGGGAGGGCTGAGGGAGATGTCTTTGCCTGTTTGTAACTCTGTTCTCTCCACCAGGAAAAAAGTCCCAGACAGAGCTCATGTTCCAGAAGGCCATAAAAAAATACGAACATGTCATGTTCCTCGCTGTTTAAGATGAGATTAGTTCATCTGGACCTTAAAGGAGCTCCACCAAAGGTCTCCTATCTCTCAGAGGTAAGACTCCTTCCTCTGTGGAGAATCACCTTGCTCTGGGTTTGGGCACTCTGACACAATCTTGGGGCCCTATGGATGGGGCAAGGTGATGGCAGAGCATAGATTTTCTCCTAGTTCCTCTCAAAACCAGACAGAACAACCAGAATGGCACCGAGAACAAAAGCAGCTGAGCCTGGTGGTGCTCACCTTCAATCCCAATGCTCTGGAGGCTGGCAGATCTTTGTGAGTTCCAGGCCAGCCAGAGCTACAAGATGAGACTCACCTCGGTATGTACATGTGAAGGCCAGAGTCAATATCGGGTATCTTCCTTGATCACTCACCTCATATTTTAATACAGGATCTCACTGAGCCTGCAGCTCCCCATCTCAGCTAGACCCCCCCCCCCCAAGCTGCCTGTCACCACACCAGCTCTGGGTTTTAGGCATGTGGGTGCTGGGAATCCGAACTCAGTTACAGGAGAGGACTTCAGACAAAGTTGTGCCCAAAGGGAAAACAAGAAGACACACAAGAAAGACCTTGTGACAACAGAAGCAGAGACCAGAATGATGCAGATACATGTCCAGGAATGTGAAGGATGGCTGCAACTACGCAAGCTGGGCGAAACAGGAAGTCCTCTCCTGTGGAACCTTCAGAGAAAGCATGCCACGCAGCCCCTGCATCTGGGACTCAAGGTCTCTGAGAGAAAATTCCTGTCATTTTAAGCTACTCCATTTGTGGTCATTTCCTAGAGCAGTCCTACAAAGCTAGTACATTCGCCAGCAAAGAGCACTGAGCTAAACATGGTGTCTTTCCAGTGCTTGCAAAGTAGAGGCAGGAGGATCAGGAGATCAAGACCAGCCTTGACTGCATAGCAAATTCAGAGCCAGCCAGGACTACGTGAGGCTGTCTTACAAAAGGGGGGTGGGGGGAGGCTGGAGATGGCTCAGCAGTTAAGAGTACTGGCTGCTCTTGCAGAAGACCTGGGTTCAGTTCTCAGCACCCAAATGGCAGCTATGAACTGTCCTTAACTCCAGTTCCAGGGGGAATCCAAAGCCCTCTTTGGACCTCTGCAGCATTGCACGACACGGGTGTACTCACACACATGCAAGCAATACACTTATACACATAAGATAAAAATAATAAATAAAATATTAAAAAAAAAAAAAGTGAGAAGGTTGAGGCTGGGGCCTGGTGAGATGGCTCAGTAGGTCAAGATGCCTGCTGCCAAGCCCGATGACCAGAGATCCCTCGGACCCACATGTTGAAAGACGAGAATGGATTCTCCTAAGTTGTCCTCTGACCTTGACGTGTGTGTTGTTATGATGTGTGTGCACACGCTAAAAGAAATAAATGTAATAAGAATAAGTAACAGGTTTGGGTGTATCCATAGATTTTAAAAATGGAATAAGTGGGACCACATCCAGATGCCACAAAACACCTGCAGGGTGAGATGCCTTAACAGAAGGTGGATGAGTGAAGACATCAGGTAATTCTAACAATGCTGTGTCCAAAGGAACCAGAACATTGCCCCAATATAGATGTTTCCCACAGCAACAAGAAACTGGGAGAATTTAAGAATTCTTGCAGAGAAATTCACAGAGTACAGAGGCCTTGCACAAAGACTTGCAAAAATATGTAAGGTCTTCTGGAAGGACAGCACCCCATATTGAAGACATAATGTTGGCAAAAGTATCTTCATCGAACTGAACCAAAGATGAAGGAGACTATTCAAATACCAGAGGAGAGAGCCAGAGACCAACGGAGTACAGAGACTACATGGAGCTAGTATGTCCCATCTCCAACCACAAAAAAGGACCAATAGGGGGCTGGAGAGATGGCTCAGCAGTTAAGAACACTGGCTGTTCTTACAGAGGACCTGGGTTTGATTTCCAGCACCCACGGTAGCTAACAACCATCTGTAATCCAGTTCCTCAGGAATCCAATGCCCTCTTCTCACTTCTATGGGCACTGCACGACACGGATGCACTTACACACATGCAGGCAATATACTCATACACATTAAAATAAAAGGAGCAATAGTGAGCCCAGCATGATGCACGCCTTTAATCCTAGTACTCAGGAGGCAGAGGCAAGCAGATCTCTGTGAGATTGAGCCCAACCTTGTCTACATAGCGAGTCCCAGGTCAACTGGAGCTACAGGGAGACCCTGTAAAAAAAGTCTCTAGTCTTTGAACATATGCAGATGTGCTGAGCACCTGGGATGCAGAGCTCATGTTGGATTAACCCATACCTGATCTCCCCCCCACATGTAGAAGACCCTCCCTGAGAAGGACCACATTGTTCCTAAGCAGAGGGGTGGCTGTATAGAAAGGAAGAAGATATCCCTGGAAAAACAAAAGCTTTAAACAGGAACAAATTCAACATAAAAGAAATATAAATAAGGGCTGGAGAGATGGCTCAACAGTTAAAAGCACTGGATACTTTTGCAGAGGACCTGGGTTCAATTCCCAGCATCCACGTGGCGGCTAATAGCCATCCATTACTCCAGTTCCAGGGGATTCAAAGCCCTCTTTCTGACTTCCATGGACATTGTACAACATGGGTGCACTTAAATACATACAGGCACTACAGTCATACACATGAAATAAAGATTTACAAAAAAAATGAAATACAAAGAGACAGGCATGGTGGCGCACGCCTTTAATCCCAGCACTTGGGAGGCAGGGGCAGGTGGATCTTTGTGAGTTTGAGGCCAGCCTGATCTACATAGTGAGTTCCAGGACAATTGGGGCTACAAGGAGACCCTGTCTCAAAAAGACAAAAAAAAAAAAAAAAAAAAAAAAAAAATACAAATAAAAGCTAAAAAAAAACAAAACTGGTTTCGTGACCCAGACCTCTAATCCTAGCACTTGAGAGGTAGATGAAGAAAGGTCGTGAGTTCAGGGTCATCAGCCTTGGCTGTATCACTTGGCGCGCGCACACACACAGAGGAAATAGGGAAGGAGAAAGATAGCCAGCATTTGCAATCTTCATGAAAGAGGAGACTGGGAGACTAGCAAGGAAAGAGGCTAGAGCACTGGAAATGGACCCACCATTTCACTTCTTTACCCCAAGTGTATAGTCCAGTTAGATCACTTCTCTATGGCCAGGCTGCTTTGTGATTTTTACTCACTTATTTCTCGTGTTATGAATTATCTGCAGTTAATTTTTAGTCCTGAATTGATTTCTTCCTTTGACTCAGCATGCTTCAGACTTCCCTGTACTTTAGGAAAAGAAAACAATGTTAAAAAAATCACAGAACACAAGGCCAGGCGTGGTGGTGCACATCTTTAATCCCAGCACTTGGGAGGCAGAGGCAGGCGGATCTTTGTGAGTTCGAGGCCAGCCTGGTCTACATAGTGAGTTCCAGGACAGCTGGGGCTCAAAAAAGACAAAAAAAAAAAAAAAAAAAAAAAAAAATTCACAGACCACAAATCACAGCCCTTATTTGGAGATGAGTGGAAAATTTAAATATCCTTAGAGTCCCCCGTTTATTAGTGCCAACATTGTACTGTTTTTTATCCCTGACCTTGATACCAGAAGTCCCCTCCCCAAACCCAGTTGTTTTATGTAATAGGCTTGAAGAGGTCCTAAAACTCCTTGAAGAGAGAGGGATTCTTATCTTTAACATGAAAATAGAAAAGGAAGTCGTGAGAGGAAAGGGCCCTGTGACTGTGAACCCCATTCCACCTGCCCTTCCTTTGGCTTGGCCTGAGTCCTCCATCCTCAGCTAAGCCTCCAGAGTCCATGCTCTTTGGTGGCAGCTGTTCACTGGCATGTTACCCTCCTGGTGTAAAGGTGTGTCACTGAACAAGAACTTGATGTGGCAAAACATCAAGTGCACATTCCAGATTTTTAAAAATATTTTATTATTTTTATGTGTATATGTGTATTGTCTTCATGTAGGTAAGTGCATCTGTGTCATGCAATGCCCGAGGAGGACAGAAGAGGCTCTTGGATCCCCTGGGACTGGAGTTATAGACAGTTGTTAGCTGCCATGTGGGTGCTGGCATACGAATCCAGGTCTTCTGCAGGAACAACCAGTGTTCTTAACTGCTGAGCCATCTCTCCAGCCCCCACAGTCCAGATTTTAAGTCAAGAATATCAGCTCCCACCCCTCTTGAAAGCCTAGAAAGGAAAAAGTGTGTGCAAGTGTTTTTTGTTCAAACGCCACTTTTTCATAACACCCTATCTCCCTCCAGGTTTTCCCCTTGTTCCACGCACTTGGTGCAAATGGCCTCCTCATTGAATATGAAGATATGTTTCCCTATGAGGGCCACCTGAAGGTGCTGAGGGCCAAGTACGCATACAGGTATGGACGCTAGCAAAAGAGGTCAAGCAGCTGATGGCCTCCAAGCAGTAGTGTGAATGTAGAAGTGTGGGTAGGACAGTCAGGTGTCTAATGTGGTAGATACATTCCTTTTTTCTTTAGGTATATAGGTTGCGCACGTCTTTAATCCCAGCACTTAGGAGGCAGAGGCAGGGAGATCTCTGTGAGGTCTAAATAGTTTCAGGCCAGCCAGGGCTACGTAGTGAGGAGGGGAGGTGGGATATGAATGAATGTAAGTTTTCATTGTACCCTGTAGGAAAGAGCTGTGTGCTAAGCTGCTCTTAAGGCTGTAGCTGACTTTTTTTTCCTTTTGTGTGTGTGTGGTGTACATCCATGTGTATATATCTGGGTTCACATGTGTGTGGGCACGTGTATGTGCACGTGTGTATGGGCCTGTGGAGGTCTGAGGTGACAGCACTCGAAGTCTATCTCCATCACTTGCCACTTATTTATTGAAGCAGGGTCTCTGGTTGAATCTGGAGCATAATTTTTTTACTGGCCTGGCTAGCCATCTTGCTTTGGAAATCTATGTATACCTCCAGACCTCTGGAATTGCAAGTGGGCCACCATGCCAACCAGCATTTATGTGGGTTCCGGGGATCCAGACTCCAAGCTGTGGGCTTCTGCTGAAGTGCTTTAACCACTGAGCCATTTCCCCAGCCCCCACAGTTGGCTTTTAAGCAGGGAATGCATAAGAAAATAGGAAAATATCAGGCAGTTCATAGAATTATGCAGTGTCGTTTGGCTGTTGAGTTTGTAAAGCTGGATGTGTAGCTCAGTGGTGGAGTGCTTGCCCAGGAATCACAAGGCTCTGGTCTTGATCCCAGGCACACGGGACAGGGGAGCGTGGACAGGATTATTGCTGTTTCTTTAGTCAGGCATTGTGGGGACTGCCTGTGATATCAGCACTCAGGAGGCGCAAGTCAAGGCAGAGGTGGAGAGATGGCTCTGAAGTTAAAAGCACTTGCTGCAGCCGGGAGTGGTGGTGCACGCCTATAGTCTCAGCACTTGGGAGGCAGAGGCAGGTGGATCTCTGTGAGTTCAAGTCCAGCCTGGTCTACATAGTAAGTTCTAGGCCAGCTGGGGCTATAGGGAGACCCTGTCTCAAAAAAGACCAAAAAAAAAGCACTTGCTGCTCTTGCAGAGGACCTGGATTCAGTTCCTAGCACCACATGGTGGCTAACAACTGTCCATAACTCCAGTTCCAGGGGATCCAGCCTCTGAGGGCACTGCACACATATGGTATACTTATATATCTGCAGGCAAAATATTCATAAAATACAAATAAATAATTTTTTTTTTTTGTCTTTTTGAAGCAGGTTCTCCCTGTAGCCCCAGCTGTCCTAGAACTCACTATGTAGACCAGGCTGGACTTGAACTCACAGAGATCCACCTGCCTCTGCCTCCCAAGTGCTGGGACTACAGGTGTGCACCACCACTCCCAGCTTAAACGTTTAAGGTAGCCTGGGGTAAGATGTGAGTTCAAGATAGTGTGGGCTACATACCTTTTCTCAAAACAAAGACAAAAGACAATGTTCTGTGGTTGTAGAGGGAGAACAAGCAAACCTGCTGGAGGGCATTTGGCTCTGGGTAGCCCTGTTCTCTAATGCACACACTTTCTCTGTGCTCTGCTCTGCGTTCCCTACTGTGGACACAAGATGGGACTGGAGAGATGGCTTGCTCAACAGTTAAAAGCACTGGCTGCTCTTGCAGAGGACCTGGGTTCAATTCCCAGCACCCACATGACGGCTAACAACTGTCTGTAACTCCAGTTCCAGGGGAATTCGACTCCCTCTTCTGACCTCCTTGGGCATTGCACAACATGGGTGCACTTACATACACAGTTTCTCTGTGCTCTGCTGTGTGCTCCCTACTGCGGACACAAGATGAGACTGGAGAGATGGCTTGCTCAACAGTTAAAAGCAGGCAATACACTCACACACATAAAATATTAAATAATAGGGGCTGTAGAGATGACTCAGCAGTTAAGAGCACTGACTGCTCTTGCAGAGGACCCGGGTTCAGTTCCCAGCACCCACATGGTAGCTATGAACCATCCTTAACTCCAGTTCCAGGGGAATCCAAAGCCCTTTCCTGTCCTCCATGGCATTGCATGACACAGGTACACTCACATACATGCAAGGCAAGATACTCATACACAAAAAAATAAAATAAATAATGTTTTAAAGTTTTTTGTTTATTTTTATTTTATGTGTATGAGTGTTATGCCTGCATGTAGGTAAGTGCACCCGTGTCGTGTAATGCCTGCAGAGGACAGAAGAGGCCGTCGGATCCCCTGGAACTGGAGTTACAGACAGTTGTTAGCTGTCATGTGGGTGCTGGGATTCGAACCTGGGTCTTCTGCAAGAACAACCAGCGTTCTTAACCGCTGAGCCATCTCTCCAGCCCCTAAATAAAAATTTTTAAAAAGGCACCAGAGTTCCTTTGAAGCTTGAAATAGTTATATTTAGGGTAAAAACTTTATATGATTAATAAACTTGTAGAACTGGCCATCTGCCAACCCTGCTCTGCAGGAAGACTGTGGCTGGTTCATGTAAGATGCAGGTAGCTTCATCCTACTGTGCAGCTCAGCAGGAGCAGCTGGGGCAAACAGACTGTTACCATTGAACAGGGTTCCCCCAAATCCTGAAGAGCTTCCTTCCTGCATTCTGGAGTCTGTGGAGCTTTACAGAGTTAAGGGCCCATACTCAACGCAGCCACTGCAGCTGACAAGAAAGGACTGACTGGGCTGGGCAAAAATTGCTATACTGACCTGACTGGCACAAGCTTCTGTGTGGTGTCTGTCCAGCCCTGCCGAAGTTGCAGAGATCCTGCGCCTGGCCAGACTCAGTCAGCTGGAGGTCATTCCCTTGGTGCAGACGTTTGGACATATGGAGGTGAGTGGAAGGGATGGAAGGGACCTGGCATGAGTGTGGGGCCTAGGGGTTGGGCTTGTGCCCAGAGAGGGGGCAGGAGGGCAGGTAGCAGCAGCTTAGCACTGCCTGAGGAGCCTCTGCTCTCAGCACAGACCTGCCATACATCCAGAAAATATGTGACTCCAGGTCAGGGCTGCTTCACCAGGAAGGAAACCTTCCATTTTCTGCTGTGTCTGTTCAGCAGTATTCAAAAGTATTCTCATGGGTAAGTCAAACAACCAAGAAGCAAACAGTGTTACAGTGTTGATTTAATGGCTTGTAAGATGCCGCTGCATTTATCCCTCTAAAATGAAAAAATGGGCTGGAGAGATGGCTCAGCAGTTAAGAGCACTGACTGCTCTTGCAGAGGACCCGGGTTCAATTCCCAGCACCCACATGATGACTACGAACCATCTTTAACTCCAGTTCCAGGGGAATCTGAAGCCCTCTTCTGACCTCCGTGGCATTGCATGACACAGGTGCACTCACATACATGCAGGCAATACACTCATGCACATAAAATAAAAATAATAATAAAATAGAAACTTTGCAGTTATTAAAAAAAAGTAAAACCAGACTGGTCGTGTTGGCACACACCTTTAATCCCAGCACTTGGGAGGCAGAAGCAGGCAGATCTCTGAGTTCAAGACCAGCCTGGTCTATATAACGAGTTCCAGGCCATCTGGGGCTACTCAAAAAGACCAAAAAAAAAAAAAAGTAAAAAGAAGGATGGAGATGTAGCTCAGTGGAAAATCACTTAACTTAGCAAGACCTGGGTTCAATTCCCAGAAACACAAAAAAAGGGAAAAGTGGGGGAGGGGAGGGGGAAGAGGGCTGGTGAGAAACCAGCTAGAGGACTCAGAGCTCAGCTTGAGCCAGACGGAGTCTTGGGAGCTGCTGCCCTGTGGGCCCTGGAGTTCAGCTCAACTTGGCATAAACTGCAGGCCACCCAGCTGGCCCCCTAGGCACATCTGGACCAGACTGTCAAGTTGGGCAGCTTGAGCTTGGTGCTATTGCCAAGGACGTGCAGGGGACCAGGGTGCTCAGGCACCAGCTTCCCTTCCTACCTCCCAGCCCCTCCTGTCTCTCCATAGTTTGTGCTAAAGCATGCAGCATTCGCACATCTCCGGGAAGTGGCTCTCTTCCCCAATACCCTGAACCCTCATGAAGCCGAGTCCCTGGCAGTGGTCAAAGCCATGATCGACCAGATCCTGGAGTTGCACAGGGGCGCCCAGTGGCTCCACATGGGGTGTGACGAGGTGAGTGCCTTTGACCCCAAGGTCTGCAGCCTCTTCTCAAAGCCACCTGTCCCACATCATAGCTTATTTTCGTTTGGTTTGGTTTGGTTTGGTTTAGTGTAGTTTTTTGGGCTTGTTTTGAGACAGGGTCTCCCTGTAACCTCAGCTGGCTTGGAAACCAGACTGGCCTTGATCTCACAGAGATCTACTTGCCTCTACCTCCAAAGTGCTGGTATTAAAGGTGTGTACCACCATGCTTGGCTAACGTAATTTTTATGAGGCACAGTCTCACTAAAATAGCCCATATGGTTTGAGCTCTCGATTCTTCTGCCTCAGCCTCCCAAGTGCTAGGATTACAGAAATAAGCCCCCATGCTAGGTCATATGACTTCTTTTAAATAGAAAAATAGTCCAAATGCTAAAGAATAAAGATTGAGCTTCCCAACGAGATAGGTCCATTCAGGAAGCCATTCTTACTGATGTCTCTGGGGAGGACCATAGCCTGGCATGAGGCTTTGGAGCCCAAATAAGGTACTCTTGTGTGCCAGATGAGACCCTCACCCCGAGGCTTCTCCTCCACCTCCAACAACAACAGAGCCCCAGCCATGGGCAAACCCACGGCCTTTCAGACTACTCCAGCCAAAGAAATGCAGTTGAAGCATTGCAGGAAGAGTTGCCTTTGGATCCTGAAGCACTCTTTGGGAAAGGTGGTCCCCTGGAGACATCTTGGTGTGTTTCCCACCCAGTGGCCAGCCCCTGCCCATCTACTGCTCTGTTGTGACTCTAGTGTAAGCTAGGATCAAGAGGCTATGACCCAAAAGCCTCCATAACCCAAAGGGAGTCTAAGCTGGGCCTGGGTTTGCAGACATTCAGTACTGAGGTTTCCCTTTTTAAAAGAAAATCTGAGCAGGACATGTGGCTGACACTAGTCCCAGCACTCAGGTGGACATGTGGCGGACACTGTAATCCCAGCACTCAGGTGGAAGCAAGAGGATTGCCATGAAATTAAGCCAGCCTGGGCTGCATGCAAGTTCAGGTCAGCTTGGCCATAGTGTCTCAAAATAAGATCTGAACCGGGCTTGGCAGCACATTCCTTTGATCCCAACACTCAGAGGCAAAGGCAGGTGGATATCTGTGAGTTGAAGGCCAGCCTGGTCTGCAGGCCAGCAGGGGCTACAGGAGGACCCTGTCTCAAAAAGAACAACAACAAAAGAGATCTGAAAGCCTAGTGTAGCGATGCCCACCTGTAACCCCAGTGGCCTTTGCAGCATAGAGAGTTGAAGGCCAGCCTGGGCTACATGAGATCCTGTCTCTAGAAAGAGGAGGAAGAGGAACGATGCAGCCAGCAATCTGTGTGTGAGACTCTGATTCAGGGAAAAACTCTTTCCACCCCCCCAACCCCCCATTTTATCAACTCTCTCAGTACATTGTGGTGTTGTACACCCATCACCTCAAAAAAAGCCCTGTACCCAGTCCCTCCCTAGGCCTTGGCAGCCGCCAACCTGCTTTCTGAGCACTTGATTGGTCTGGAATTTCATAAAAATGGAATCACACCACATGTGGTCTTCTATGTCTAGCTTCTTCACATCCATTATGTCAAAGCCAATCAGTATTGTTGCATGTGTTAGGAACATCCATGGCAAGGTGGGACACATGGGTAGAGGAGCTGTCCTGCTTGGCGACGTGAGCAGAGCTGCTATAAACCTAGTGGGGCCCTGAGTGAATCTGAGGTCTAAGGAAGGCAGGCCCATCCTGTAGAGACCAGGGAAGCTGAGCTCCTTCCCTAGCCTTTGCACATCTGCCACCCCAAGACTCAGGATGTAAGGTGGTTAACAGCAGCCACAGTCCATCTGTTTCTCTCTCTAGGTCTACTTCTTGGGCGAGGGGGAGACCTCAAAACAGTGGCTACAGCAGGAGCAGAACAGCCAAGCGAAACTGTGTCTGTCCCACATTCGGGCAGTAGCCAGCCATGTACTGGCCCAGCACCCTGGCACAACACCCCTGGTGTGGGATGACATGCTGCGGGACATCCCCCAGGACCAGCTCAAAGGTTGGCAGAGCCTGCATCAGGGTCAGGGCTTCCATATGGCTTAGCCACCCAGACCTCCAGCTTCAGAGGCCTTGGAAGCGAGCCTCCTGCTAGAACCACCTTTTATGTGTGCTCTAATCGAAATGCTGGGTTTAATCCTCCAAGTCACTGTACAGCCTTGCAGGAGTGTGGGCTATGGGGCAGTGCAGGCTGCAGTCACACTGGCCCAAAGTAGAGATGAGAGCTGAAGAATACCTTCCCCATTCTGGGAGGTGGCACTTAAACATGTCACCTAGCTCCACTCCAAGGCCTGAGATACAGTATGTCCCACAGCTGAGCAGGGATCCAGAGTCAGCTGCTCCCCTACTCCGTGAGGTTCCTGCGTGTATACGGTTGATGGATTAGAACTAGCTCTGATTAGCAGTATGTTTCAGTATCTTTTGTGACTGGTGCTTATGACCAAAATCCTAACAGCAGTGAGCCTATACTTAAAGCCCAATAGACCTGAGAAGGTGGTTTAGGTTCCCATTTTAACATTAGTGCCAGAGGTGAGCGTGGTAGCAAATGTCAGTCATCCCAGCTCTTGGGAGGCCGAGGCAGAAAGATTAGAGTGTAAGGCCAGCCTGCACAGCAAAGTGAGACCCCTATCTCAAAAGAAATGTGTCTAGGAGCAGGGGTGCAGCCTGCAAAGCCCTTCCTGCACTCATAGCCTTGCTCTGTTCCCAGCATCTGGGGTCCCTCAAATGGTGGAACCTGTACTCTGGGACTATGGAGCTGACCTGGATGTCTACTGTAAAGGTTAGTAACAGGTTGCCTAGGATACATCCCTCCATGACCCTGTAATGTATACTATTCAGCCTGGGTATACAGGCGCCTCAATGGCTGGACTCAGCAGCATGGAATAAAAAGGCCATGCACAGCCTCCTGCCCCAGTGTGGGAGCCCCTGCTAGCCCCAGTCCATCCAGGACCATTCTTCTTGAAGCCTCTACCTAATGAGCAATGAACCACCAGCCATGTGGGAGTGGTTGGATTCTCCCCTCTGCTAGGGTAGGGGCAGTCATGGGCTGCTCTGGTGGGCTGCTGGGCCAGGCTGCTCATCTAGGGTCTGTCTCCACAAGAGCTGCATATCAACTTGCTTTCTCGCCTAGTCCTTCTCATGGAAAAGTACCAGGAATGTGGCTTCCAGAGGCTGTGGGCTGCCAGCGCCTTCAAGGGGGCCACTGGGGCTAGCCAGGCCCTAACCCCTGTTGAGCATCACATCAGGAACCATATGCAGTGGCTGCAGGTGGCAGACAGTGGGCCAGTGGACATACTGCAGGGCATCATCCTGACTGGCTGGCAGAGGTGAGTTCTGGGAGAAAGGGACGAAGGTAGGGGACTTCGTTTCAACTGTGGCAACCTGTACAGTGTTAGCTTTGACCCTTCTGAAGTTGAGGCCCTCGTGCTTCTGTGGCTGCCTACTCAACTCTACTGAGGAGACACTGTTTGGGGTGTTCAGGGCTACAAGCATGCAGCCTCATGTCCCTGTGGTCTGCGTGTTCCATGTATGATACTGGTGTCTCATGTGTGACAGGGCATCCTGGTTCTTTCAGGATTTCGAGTTTGAAAAGAAGAATGAACCCAGTCCTTGATTGAGTTGGGAGGGCAGACGCTAGCAACCCCACCAGTGAGCAGCGTAAGGCAGGACTGCAGAGAGGTGCCCTCTGCGGCCTTCAACCACAGAGCAGGGCTCTCAGTCAAGTGAGGCAGCCAGCCTGGTTACAGGAGTTGCTTGTAGCTCCAGTACAGGTCTACTGGTTGGCTTCAGAGAAACTTATAGAAGGCTCCACAAAGATTTCTCAAGCATCTGCTATTTGTGCACAGGGTGTGTTGAGGTCTGGGTTAAAGCAGGACTGTCTCACATAGAGCAAAGCCCCTCCCACATACCAGATAGTGGCTGGTGACTTCACAGAGGTGAGGGGAGACTAATGGAGGTACCCTGCCTAGCACAGGAGGGCTGAGATGCCCATCCTAACCTGCCAACCCCCTGGGGCCATGGGGAAAAGCATAAGTGGATAGACAGGATATAGACCAGAGAGCAAAGGCCTCAGAGGAAGGGTGATAGGGCACAGCCTCCAGGAGGCAGACCAGTACTGGGAGAGGGACAGTGGATGGCTCTGCAGAAGCTCCACCCAGAGTGTGCAAAGTGTGCGGTGGACCCAGGGGCCAAGAGCCCCTCTCCCCCACAAGGCTCTTTTGGGGCATCACATCCTAGTACAAAGCCGCAGCAGGTAGAACCCACCTTGGAAACCCTGGGCCAGGTGATGGGAGGTACCAGGCTGAGATGACTGAGGGCTACAAAACTGAGCACCTCTCCCCTGGACATAGGTACGACCACTTCTCAGTGCTGTGCGAGCTGCTCCCTGTGGGAATCCCATCCCTGGCCGCCTGTCTACAATTACTTGTACATGGTACGTCCCTGACAATGGCTCCAGCCCTGCCACCTGCTCTTAGAAGGGTGGGAAGCCAAGTGTTGGTGTCCCCTAACCACTGCCCAGCTCAGCCTGGATTGTCATCATTCACAAGGGAGGATTCTCATGGTTCTAGCCCAGCCACCTGTTTGCTTACCATTGATACAGGTCAGCCCATAGCCAAGTCCTCAAGCCCAAACAAACCTGAGGTGAGTTGAGAAGTTAGGCGGGACACGCCCCACAAACTCAGTGTGAACCTAGAGAATAAATACATGCTGCAGATGCAGAAGGTTCTACCTTTGATGCCTGAGTATCCTGAGAGCTGTGAGGTGGGCTTTGTAGAATTGGGTACCCCCAACCCCTGCAGGAGCCCTGTAGCCTAGTGCTGCCATGTCCAGATCACCTGAGGGAACAACTGACTACAGCGGATGTGCTAGGCACCCAGCAGGTGTAGACAAGTGGGGCCTGGGTGAAATAGGCCAGCTCAGAAGCTGTAAGACAATAGGGATTTACAACAGTTGTGCTGAGGAAGGACACGGATGTAGAGGGAAGGGTCCAAAAGCACATTTAACGATGACATGGTGGAGGAAGATGAGGACGTGGTCTTACGTTAGCTTAGCTCTATTGGTTGTTCGTTGTAAACTACTTAGAATGTGCTGACAGATGCTGAAACAGTAAGCAGATGGCCCTCACCACTGAAGAGGGACTGCTATTCATGATGCTGGCTTTAGCTCTTCCTCTTTTTGAGGAGGGCCTGTACTGAGGCCCAGGCCTCCCACCACAGAGCTCAGGACACTCGTCCCTGGCTTCCTGTGATGGCCTTTTGTGCTGATTTGGGGCTTGGTCTGCCCTGCTGGCTTGTTGCCGGTGCTTGAATACTCGGTCTTTGAGTGAGCTTGGGTGTGCACAGGTGGCCTGTGCAGGGAGGCCAAGAGCTTGCTGCCAGCAACACCATTCTGATTTCCACTTCCTGATCTGTGTGTGTGTGTGTACACAAGGGTCTCCTTGGAGCCCCAGCTGACCTGGAACTCACAGAGATTCGCCTGCCTCTGCCTCCCAAGTGCTGGGATTAAAGGCATGAGCCGTCACACCTGGCCCCCACTTCCTGATCTTTTTTTGTTGTTTTTTTGTCTTTTTGAGACAGGGTCTCCCTGTAGCCCCACCTGTCCTGGAACTCACTATGTAGACCAGGCTGGCCTCGAACTCACAGAGATCTACCTGCCTCTGCCTCCCAAGTGCTGGGATTAAAGGCGTGAGCCACCATGCCTGACCCCCCACTTCGTGATCCTATCAAGTACCTTTCACATGGTCAATGAGCAGCATGCTGGCCTGGCTGGGGTTCCCTGCAATGGTGTCCCTGCTGCCCACAGTACCCAAGGGTTGGGAGGCCTAAATAGCAGGGCTGGCAGGGGAAGAGGCCTCCTCCCCACCTCCAGAGGCCTGTCCTACCACTTCTGCCTGTGGATGGTTTCAGGAGGCTTTACTGAGCATGTTAAGCTGAAAGTGGAGAGCTTCCTCGGGGTTACCAGCCTGGAAATGATGGATGCTGTGAGGTAACCCCACTCTGCCTGCCCTTCCCCACCCCTCCCTTCTCTGGGGACCACTGTGCTCAATATAACTCTCTGACAGTGAGGGGGCTGGCTCCTTCCCTGGAAGTGACATCCACGCCCTCATCACACAAATAAGCCTCCACCTGCGCAGCTCTGTGGACGCACTTCTGGAAAGGAACAGGTAAGTAATATTTTTTATGTGTATGAGTGTTTTCCCTGCATGTAAATATACCATGTGTGTACAAGGCCCTGCAGAGGCCAGATGAGGGTGTTAGCTTTCCTGGAACTAAAGTTAAGCATAGTCGAAGTACAGTTGTTAGCCACTGTGTGGGTGCTGGGACCCAAACCTGGGTCCATTGGAAAAACGGCAAGTGTTCTTAACCTCTGAGCTCTTAAGTTTCCCTCCCAGATGCCTCCTAGCCACTACTGGCCCAGGGACACACTGTCTGGATTTGCTCCAGGTATGTCACTGGCTGGTTCAGCCCCTACCATCGCAGGCGGAAGCTTATCCACCCGGTTATGATCCAGCACATACAGCCTGAAGCACTCAGGTATTTACCATCTCATCCAAGTGTTCTTAACCTCTGAGCTCTTAAGTTTCCCTCCCAGATGCCTCCTAGCCACTACTGGCCCAGGGACACACTGTCTGGATTTGCTCCAGGTATGTCACTGGCTGGTTCAGCCCCTACCATCGCAGGCGGAAGCTTATCCACCCGGTTATGATCCAGCACATACAGCCTGAAGCACTCAGGTATTTACCATCTCATCCTCCCAGGTGTTCAGCCTCTGGCCCAGATCATCACCCCCCCCCCCAAGCATCCTTGCATACAACCACTGCAC